ATTATCAAATACAAAAAATATTAGATTATTTTTTTTAAATACAACAAATAATGAGATGAACAACTGTGAACAAGAAGTTTTTTTATTAAAGATAACATACAAAATTAAAAATATAGTATTAATAACGGGGTTATATTATGGTAAATACACTTAAACTAAATAAACCATGTACGTATTTTTGTTTTCATATTTTTTCATAAATAAAAGAAAATAAAAGAATGATTTTATCAAAAATTGAACATCAGTCGCGATATCATTGAAATCTAAAGTACAACGCATGAAGGCTTATGTCAAGTGAATTATCTAATCAAATATTTGTATTATTAAGAAAAAATAATGTAGTATTATATAGTTACTTTTAAATTATTATAAAAACTAATATTATCTATTTAATCATCTGTCACTATAGATATTACATAAATCAAAATAGAAATTATACATTTGACAGCTGATGCGGAAAGTAGATTCTTATCCACACGCGTGTAATCTAGAGCACTTTCCTAAGTGGTCGTACGAAAACATTTTTAATTTTTCACAATAGTTTGACCATTAAGAATGAGGGAAACAGAAAAAAAATATGTGGTTTTACAGTTGACAAGCATAGATATCCATATAAGCTGATTTCACTATGTTACTGTGCATAACGCAAGCAAAAACATTGATATTTAAAGTTATCTTGAACCGAAAATTCTGAAAATCAATAAGATTCTAAGTTAGAAGAAATTATACAAGAAAATCTAAACCGCAAGTTGATCGGGTCCTTCGTTCTAGAGTTATCGTTCCATTATACATGCGCACAGACGTAAATTTGTGAATTTACAAATAGGTGGATAAAAATTTTGTAAAACTGAAACCCAATAGTAATTCGTAGAGATAAATTACAGTTGGTTTTTCTAGCTGCATTCTTCCTACTGCACACAATTGTGGGCGGGATTGTCGTTTCCTTTGGTAATTTATCTCTTTTTACAACAGTAATCGTAGAACTATTATTGTTAATTTTAAATCAGTTGAAAAGTTATGTTATTAACAGATATTAATTTTTTCTTTAACTATTTAAGTTTGGAATAACTAGTTATACAAAATAGATGCAAACTGAAATGTTTTTACTCAATCCCAATTGGATTTAAAAAATTCAATTAATTATTAAAGTAAAATATCAATGATTTATGCCAAACGTCATTAAGAATTTTGTTAAAAAGGTGATGAAAAATTGATATAAATCGTGTTGGTTGTTGAAATATACATTTAATATGAATCGACTTTATCTAACGGAAACAAAGTAAATAATGTTGTTTATTAATGTTTTGTTTGTATTGTTAAATAATCTTTCCAAATACCACGTAAGTTGAGAATTTTTTTTTTGAGAACAATTTCTTGATAAATTCTCACATCTTATGGTATTTTCCTTGATAATTTTGACACACGCTGCGATTAAAGAAGATGTCAGTGATTCTATATGTCAAAATTAGAAAAATATTTTTCTTACTACAATTATCACACTAGTCCTATGGAAAGTACCCTATATCACACGCGTATGAATAAGAATTTACTTTCCGCCCGTGTGCGAATATGCTACTTTCCGCATCAGCTGTCACAAAATGTCAAATGCATCATTTCTATTTTGATCTATGTAATTCCATATTTTTTGGTTTTTTTTTTTTGTTTTTTAGTTTTTTTTTTGTTTAGAAAATATGAAAATTGAATAAATACGATTATTATTTATTGTTTTTTTAAATTCATTTTGTTTATTATAATATAAACCTCGTTTTACATTTCCGCATCAGCTGTCACATAATGTCAAACGCATCAGTTCTATTTTAATTTATGTAATGTCCATATTAACAGTAAAATCGATATGATGATTAAATTATTAAAATTGACGATTAACTTAAATCTTAGATATTTATTTTGAACAATTATTAAAATAATTTTAAAATAACTACATAAATTTCATTATTTTGGCTTTTTATTCTATTTAAGTTTAAACTTAAAATCGAATTAAAAATGCATTTGATATAAGACCCATTAGCTCAGGTTGTAGGGTAGTTGCAATTTGAACCCGTGTTCAAAACTTGGTGGTTGCAGAATTTTTTTTTTTTGTTTTTTTGTTTTTTTTTGTTTTTTTTTTGTTTTTTTTTGTTTTTTTTTTGTTTTTTTTTGTTTTTTTATTTTTGTTTCGAAAAATATAAAAATTGAATAAATACAATTATTGTTGATTATATTTTTAAATACATTTTAATTATTATAATAACCTGGTTTTACATTTTTTGATGAAATTATTTTGTAGTCGTAGGAAAAATTTTGTACATCACTTGTGTGAAAAGTGATTTTCCACACTCGTGTGATAGTCGCACTCGTCTTGTGCCTCGTGCGACAATATTTCCCATTCGTGTGAAAAATGTCACTTTGCAAACTCGTAATATAATTTTCAGTGTACCGTTTTGTAACGCGCATGTGCGAAAATAATTGTGTATCACTCAAAATAATGTTATGTGTAGTGATAAGATGAAGATTTTTTACACACTTAGGTATTCTAATACAAATATAAAATGTGCCAAAAAAGTTATTAGGAAACTAAGAATTAGGTATTGGATTTTGTGAAATATATGTTTGTCTTCTTTCAAATAAATTTAATAAACATTGAACTGCACTTTGTTTATTTTATTTTGAAATTATATTTAAAAAATATAATAAATCCGCGTGTTTCAATTAGGATTGGTCAAAGTGGGCGAAATCCTATTATTATCGATAAATTGTAAGTTACAATTATTATGTCAATATAAAGATGTTTTGTCCATTCATATTTACATTTATTGAATGAATTATACTGGAGTTGATTTTGGAAATATTGGTACATACTTAAATAAATACTATTTCTAAAAATTCGTCTATGCCCAGACAGCACACATAGTCAAATGGACGTCCACTTTAGATCCATTTGAGGGTCAGGACGTCCATATCCGGGCATCCAGTGTACGTCTGTTTATGCTAATTAATTTGACAGGTATTTAACTCTAAATACATAAACCTTAAATGACATCTGGCTTATCTTTGGGAGAAAACACTTGTTTCTACAGAAATGAGTAATAAACTTGAAAGTCCTTTTAATATAATTCTAAAAATAAGTAAGTACTTTTTAAACCTAAAAGCTTTGAAAATATATGCACATTGTAAATATTTAGTTAAACCTCCCAAACTTAATGTCTTTTTAATTGTTACCTAAATTTTTTTGGTACCCTTAATTTTATTTACCTTATTTTTACTTAAAGAAAAGGTAATTTAATTTAAATATGGGGCTTTAATTACAATAAATAAACCAAATATTGAACAAATTTTATAGATAAATTATAAAATAATAAACGTCTTTTACTTTTATAACAAATAATTAATTATTACATATTTTGGTGCCGAAATTTCACCATTGCTATTAACCCTAGCTACTTCAATGTAATTAAATCACATTACAACATTTGCGCATGGACTATAACAATGATTTCAGATAATTCTTCGAGCATAATGCTAAGAGATAATTTGCCAAACTATTTCGCTCAGTGTAGAAAATAAGCAGGTTTTCTCAGCGTAATAAGTTTTGTATCAATCAAAGTCAAAGGCACCGACAGCTACTGTCGCTTCTCCTTGATCGGTATTCTCGGGTAATATACTATTGTTTATTTTTTGTTGTTAAAATGGAATCTGTCTCATTTGTTTGTCTGTACTACATATTTTTTAAGTTTGTATATTTTCATCTAAATTTTGTCGTTATAATAGCTATTTGCAGGACGAGCAGAGCGAGGTCCCACAACATGAACGAGTTACATAAAACGGTCTTTCCTAACGTGTTACATATTCTAATTTTGACTAAAATTTGACTAACATTGTGTTTTGTTTAAACATTACTGATATTTAGATAACCAATATTACTTTCTTGTATTTTTAGTTGCATATACATCATTTTATTGACAATAAAAACCACGATTATATTTATCATATTTTGAAATATTTGCAGTGTGTTTATATTGTTTATTAAAGTTATTTAATTTTCAAAAAAATTAATTATTTTGTGATGTTTGTGTTTTAATTATTTTGCGCTGATTTGGACTGCAAAATAAGAACCAAAACAACAATATTACCATAAGTTTAACCAAATTCTATTTTTGTAAGTAAGCCTGCCCTTATTTGATATAAACTTTCAAATTAATGTAAGTATATTATTGATTTTAAAACCAAAAAAGATTTATTTTTATATATTTTCTTTTCGCAACTGGTAAACAGATTCATAATGAAGATCATAAAGTAGATAATTTTGACACTTATTGCGATTACAAAAAATGGCTAGTGTTAATAAAATATAGGCATTTGCTTTAACTTGAAAATTGGGAACAAATCGTGCTTACTTTCCAATAAATAAACATTTTATTTAGAATTGGGGATAACGAATTATTTGATAAACCCTGTAGAAACGTCAATTAAGTTCCATAAATTTTATATTTTAAAAAGACGAGCTCGATTGTTTACTTATTTTTAAGTAAAAGCAGTTACTTAATTTTTATTCACACTATCCATAGTCATTTTATATGTCAAATTTATAAAAAATATAAAAATAGCAGTGATGTACTTTTGAGTTTTCCATCGTGCATGGTTTAGTATTCAACTGCCGAAAAATAGTGACGAATTTTTAAATGTGCAGTATAAACTTTAATTAATAAAAAAAACTGTAATTTGTGGTCTTATCAACAGTAGTATCTTATCAAAAATCGAACCAAATCTTTTTCTATAAATGTGTAGTCAAAAAACTAAATCATAATCGACGCGTGACGTCAAATTTAAAACTCCGATTTATGCTTTTATCAATTTTGCCATTACTGTCTTCAATGAACAAGTTCCAACTTGCACTGTTCTATCTTCTAACAAATTTCTTATTTCTGGATGTTTTCCCTCGAATACCGGCAACGCAGCTCGTTCTCGGGTAAAAACGATCAACTCGCGGAACTTACGCGTTCGACGGCTGAAAACAGTGAACGCGGAGTTCGGCTGAATTCTCTTCAGTACGATGATATCGCCTTACGCGTGCGGACCGTTAAACAGAACCGAAAAAGACGGGGAATACGCCGATGAACATGAAGAGTATTCGACCAGATATTCTCAGTGTACGTTTGTGATATTGGTGGAGTGAAAGGGTTCAAAACAGCGATTTTTTGGTGGATTATCTGTGATGCGATGCCAATTTTTGAGTTAAAGTGGTTGGAAATAGTGAAAATTCGATGTTTAAAAAACATCTGCGGCGATATATTGATTGTTGCCCTTGAGTTTTCGGGAAGCCAGGATTTTTTCGCCGGAGAAAATGAATAGGTTGCTGGAGATTTTCTTTCAAGAAAGTTCTTTCGGAACTTTGGAACGATTTATATTATTTAATTGTTTCAAAAATAAATGCGATACTTGTTTGAACATAACTATTTTTTAATTCATAAAAATTTTAAATTAAAGGAAAGAAACTCATTGAATTTTTTAGTAAAAGAAAGAGTTTTGGGTCAATTTTTTTGAAGAAAACAAAATCTTCGTTTTTTATGGTTTATTTCACTAATTAAATAAAATTTGATTTGCTTAATTTTGCCAAGAAATTAAAGAACCTAGTAACTCGAAAAAAAATTTGTTGAATAAGAAAAGAAAATATTTTTTTACTATTTTTGTTGTAGTTTTTTTAATTTAATAGATAAATTAACGAAATTTGGCGAACTTTATTAAAAATGTTATCTCTACAAAACTATTATAACATATTTTAAATATTTTACAAAGAAACAAAGTTATACACGTCGTTTTAGTTATTAGTCTTATAAAACTCCAATGTTTGGCAAAATAAAAAACTAGTAAGTTAAATTACAGTAAAACAGTGCTAAATAATCCTGCTCAAAAACCTATTGAGTTCAGTTATAGTGATTTATTCCCAAAAAATCTCACAATGGAACCTATCGGGGAAAGTTATAATGAGTTATAATGAGTTATTGTTTAAAAAATTACACCTAGAATCCTATTATACAAACATGCAATTATTTTAAATTGTCAACCTATCGACCTATGATGTAATAGACCAAAATCTATGGTGTTAAAATTTAAAAATAAATAAAAAAAAAAGATGCTTTTTTAGCTGCAGTAAAAACTAAAAGATGACAAAACAAAAATTATAAAGGTTTAAAAATTCCAAACATTTCAAATGAAATATATACCTATTAATGAGCACTTAACTTCGAAAAACAAAATGTTCTCGAAAATGTTATTAAGAAATGTAAAACAAAATGCTAAAAATTATAAATACGTTTGGACGACAAACTGCAATATGTTTGTTCGCATAAACGACACAACCAATGTAATTAAGATATCTGCAGATAAAGACATTGGTAAGTTAGTTGCTCGGTTAGTTGCTAATAAAACCCTTAACAGAATTAACATTTTTTCTACGTCTCGCTATGGATAAAGACAACGAATTAATAATTTCAATTTTTTACCAAAATGTTAGAGGTCTCAATACCAAAATTAATGTGCTGAATCAAAATCTATTAAATTCCGAAAGTGATTTATTTGGTTTTAACGGAAACTTGGCTTTCATCATCAATATCTAATGAAGAAATTTCTACATCATACAAAATATATCGTCGCGATAGAGAATGAAGCTCTTCAAACAAATTGTGTGGTGGAGGTGTTTTAATAGCAGTGTCAAATGAAATTTTTAGTTTCTATGAAGACTCGTGGACCTCTGAGGCTGAGGATGTTTGAGTCATCGTTATACCCAACCGCGAAAAACGATACAACGTTCATATTTGTTATGTTTAGATGCCTCCCAAACACTAAATTTCTTCATATTTTTCTAAATAATATAAATGATAACTATATCATTTGTGGCGATTTTAATTTACCACAAATAAAGTGATTTAAAGATACTATCGATAATTATACTACAAACGAAACCATTGTAGTGATCCCAGTTCTAGTTTATTGGTGGACACCATGTCCTTGGCTGGTTAACGTAAGCAGTAACATTTTAGATCTTGTTTTAAATAATAATTTTCTAATAAAAAATATAAAGTCGTCTACTTTATCACTGGTTGTTGAGGATCTATCACATAATACTCTAGAATTTGATACTAAATACTATAATGTAACAAAAACGAGAGTAAATAACTTCAATTTAGTAAACTGCACTGAAATAAATCATCTTCTATCTGCAATTGACTTGAATAAACAATTCCAATTTCTTACAATCAATGAATCCGTAACAGTATTTTATGAAATTGTTAATAATATTTTGGACCGTCATGTTACCAAGAATCCCAAGTAATGTAAAGCATATCCTTTTTGGTTTTCTTTGTCAACCAAAATTTCATTGATGCTGGAATAAATATAAGAATGACATGGACTATTTGACAGTCAAAATTTTACGTGATAGATCAAAATTTTTGATAAACAAGATTTACAAAGAATATTTAAATTGGATTGAAGTATTTTTTTCAATATGTTAAAAACAAAAAAAAATCCCGCATTTTACCAGATAATCTCGTAACCGATAGAGGTCTAATTACAGATCCACAGGATATCTGTAACGCCTTTTCTGATTTCTTTTCGCTGTTTTTGTGCCAAGTAGTCCTAGTGATTTTTCTGCTATTTTCAACAGCGCTCCTCTGAATATTAGCCAAAGTAAAATATCTCATGAAATGATTTTATTAAAAATAGACAATTTGCTGATAAAGGTCCTGGTCCAGACGAGATTCGTACATGCTTTATTAAAAACTGTAAAAATTATCTCATTGACCCTTTATATTTCTTATTTAATAAATCTTTCTTTAACCAATATTATCAATTATGTGTCTATTACGGACTATGACTTGCATGCAAATGGTTGATACAAGAAGAGGTAGAAAAAATAAACTTTTTTTTTTCTATAAATATGAACCTTAAAAAAATTGGAATCTGCAAAAAATATTTTTTTTTTATTCAAAAAACAAAATAATAAACAATGAAATAAAAATGTCTTTTGGTTGGCCTTACATAGCACCAAAATTTCAAAGTCCTTCGAGGTACGTCGATTATACCTGTAAACAAAAATCATCATTAGACTGCACCAGACGAAGAAAGACAAGTGTTAAATTTCAGGATTTTTTTATGTTGGATATTCATTGCTAATTTGTAATGTCAAAGAAAGCAGCAGAGTACCTAGGCAATTTTGAGTTGAAACATATGCCATATTTTTAGACTATTTACAAAAATCAAGGTGCTCCGCTGAACAAAGTCAGCACAGCACCCCAGTTTTTTAAGTTTTTTCCGAAAACGACACAATATTTTTAGGCTCTTAAAATATTTTATATTTTAAAAAAATACATCTGTTCCAACAAAGCAACCTGTATTTTTTTAAATAATATATATAATAATATTTTAAGAGGCTAAAAATAGCCTAAACATGTGACATAAGTAGATGTTTCCAGAAAAAAATAAACCGAGGTGCTCTGCTAACTTTGTTCCAACAAAGCACCCTGTTTTATTTAAAAATAGCAAGTTTTAAAATATTTCAAAAGTCTAAAAATAGCCTAAAAGTACACTGTGGTTGTTTTAAGAAAAAAGTTTTAAAAAACCGAGGTGCTCTGCTGGCTTCGTTCGAAGTTAGCAGAGAACCTTGACCATAAAATTTTTGAATAGGGTATAACAATAGCCTAAAAGTATGGCATAGATTGCAACTCAAAATTGTCTATGTGCTATGTTGCCTTCTTTGACATTAATTTGTAGATTGTTACATTTATCTTCTAAATATTAACAATCGGTCTTCACTCTAAATCTCTTTCTGTTTACACTTCGCGACAAGTCAAAACGTGAGTCAACCGTTCGCGCCGGCGTAGTTTGGTCACTAAACGGATTCAAGACTAATATTGGTGATTCGAATACGAATCCTTAAGGATTTCCTCGGCGAATCCGGATCACGGATCCTTTTTTTCTTAAGTATTCGAATACCGCTCGCGGATCCACCCCAGCTCTGTCTTACATCTGTTTTTACTTTAATTCTTCAAATTTCTACATTCCTTCTTCTTTATCTTGTTTCATATGTTCCTCCATCTTCTGATTATTTCTCAATCATTTCTTTTTTTATTCTCCTTTCTGTTTTCTTCCATATTATCCAACCTACTATTAATTTCCATAAACACTGTTGCATTGTTTTTTTTTTATTTCCATCATCAACGCAAACATGTTCCTTAAAACTCCTTCATCTTCCTTCTTTACTGCATCTTCCTTCGGTTGCTGTTCTGATTCTGCGTTTTTTCTTCTATTCCTGTATTTTCTAAAACTCCTTGTCCTACTTGTAAATTTTCTTCCTCGTCTCTTCCATTATCTTCCATTATTCCAACATTCTTTCCTCCTCGTAAATCCATATAATCACTTATCTCATTGAGGTAAGGCTCCATAAAGGGGTAGAACAAGTCTTATCTACGATGAAAGGTCACCAAACAGCCTGTGGTACTTCTTAAGTCCTTAAGACGTTAACTACTATCCAATTTTTCAGTACTGGTTTTCTTATCAACTATCCAAAGTGGGCTAGACCAGGGAGAAACAGATGGTTGTATAATACCTAACTGTAGTAATTTATTAATTTCATGTACCATCATAGGTGGTGAAAATGGGTACTATCTAGAAATTGTATCCTCTGTATCAATATCATATTTAAATAAATGAGTACACCCAAGAGAATATTTAGGAGCTCTAGTAAAAAAAAGATCAATTATTTCATTAAGTTTAGATTTCTGTTCAAAAGAGAGAGTTGCATTGTTTCAATAGAATTGATAGCACTTGGATAATAGACAATACGAAAATTCATCAAATCAAATGTCAATATTAAATAGATTTAAAAAATCTATACCTAATATTAAAGTATGTTTTACTGTAGGTATTAGTAAAATTCATAAAGTTTTTATGTTATTCACACTAATAAAACCTAAGACATTTTGAGAAACCCCATTCACTTAAGTTATCATGGTATAGAATAGGTGTATTTAGTTCATGAATAATATAAAAAGCTTGTTCTCCTAAAAATTGTTGAATTAGAACCAGTATCTACTAAAGCTAGCATCTCAGTATTGTTTATTTTTAACCTACGAATATGGTCTGTTATCAT